GAATCATTATCTTCAAAGTTTTGCTTTTCACAGAGAAGGGTGTCAAGGAAAGATTGTGATTATTGTTGTTGGTATGGGAGAGACATCTTCTGTGGAGAATATGAAGAGAAAGGGGTTCTTCATTGTGATGAAAAAAGAGAAATTTTGAAGACTCCGTGCGTTGAGATTTTTATTTATTTGGGCTAGAGCCTGGGCAGTTTCCCAGAGTGGTTGGGCCTTAAAACCACTTGTGCATCAAACATATTCCTATTCAAAATAAATGTTGATTTAGACTTTGATATAAGTTTTCCGACCACCTTTTCTCAACCAATAGCTTTGATATAATCCTATATACATTACCTATCAAGAAAATAGGCCTATAGTCTTGAGGTCTTGAGGATTGTGATTTTTTGGTATCAAAGCCATGAAGGAAGCTGCTATTGCTCTTGGAAGATGGCCGTGGGAAAAAAATTCCTTGACACACTTGAATAAATAAACTTTGATAATATTCCAACAAGCTTTATAAAACTCTGTGATAAATTCGTCAGGCCCTAGACTTTACAATATGGTTAATTTATAAAATTGTATTAGTCCCAATTTTAACTATGAATTGAAGTAATTATATGTTCAATGGGACTAACTACATTTTACACATAATTAAATAGGTGTTGCAAGCATGGTTGTCAAGATCTCGATATAGATCTTAAAATCTTAAGATTTTATGATTTCATTCACCTCCAACGATCCGAATCTTAAGTAAAGTCGTGTGTTGTAGCTAAATTGTGAGAAAACCCCGTAAATAATTGATTTTGTGCGATCTTTGTAATCTTCGGCCATGATTGGCTGTTTTTCGAGCCCCACCATTAAAAGGTGAGAAAGATGACAAGATGCAGAGACACAACAATTATAGTTCGAAGGGGATACATTTGTGCCTTTTGAAATGAAGTTTTAGATTTAGCATTTAGAGAATAAACTTCTCACTTGTAGGGTTTGTTTTAACTATTTGACTTATGATAATCCTAGTAATTGACCATATATGTCCCTAATGTCTAAACATTAACAAATGTTCAATAAAACTTCAATCATAAATGTCTAAGAATATGAAAAAGAGTCATTTTCTCAAGAATACACTTGTCTACTTACATATATCATGTAAAAATACTTCAAATATATACTTTTAATTTTTCATTTTAGTAGAATCTAACGGTTTTTGTTGTGATCTTATATTTTACGATCTTGTTACCCTCTCCCGATCTTACATAAGTAATTGAGTAGGATCTTTCGATCTTAACTACGATTTTATATTTTACGATCTTGCTATTCTCTCCCGATCATAGGTAAGATTTTGATCTTGACAACCTTGATTGCAAGAGTATACAGAAGAAAAAAAAGAGTGTCAGTTAAACATTTTCCTTCAAACTATTATGCTCACTACAAGGAATATCATCTCCAGCCACGTGTTTTGGCCACGTGATTATCATGTGGCTAAAAAAAGCCAGTTGCAACGTGATAATCACGTGGCAACATGTTTTATTAATAAAATAAAGAAGCCTGATGGTTGTCTGACTTTTTTTATAAGAAAAACATGTTGCGACGTGGGATTCACGTCGCTACTAAAAATATAATAAAAAATATTTTAATTGATCTAACGTTCAGATGGATGCGTTTTTGAAATTTTGAAAAAGTAAGTTGCGACGTGTTATTCACGTTGCAACATTTAAGAGGGAAAAATCAAATCAATACAAACTGGTGTAATCAGCTTTTACAGGCATGTGAAGAAAGAGAATAAGACTGTTTGGATGGTTGCGACGTGAAAGTCACGTGGCAACGTTGTGGCGTGATTTTCATGTCGCTAAATGCTTTATACATTTAATTGAATCACGTTCCACAAAGCAGACAGTTTTGTTATCATCAAACATTCAAAACTCTTCTTCTTCATTAACCCTCTTCTCATTTCATCCCTCCATTAAACCCTCTTCTTCTTCATAAAATCTCTTATTCTCCAATATAAAATCCAACTTCAATCTCCATTAATCCTTGTTTTTTCAGGTAAATGAAATTTAATTTTGTCTCTATTTTGTTTACAAGTTTTTATTTATTGTATTATGGGATTGTAATTTATTTTAATTTTTCTTTGAATAGAAGAAGATTGATATAGTAGAAGTAGATTGCAAAAAGGTTGGACAAGAAGATTGAAGGAGTTAGAAGATAAGAGGTATTTCTTGAAGAAAAAAAATTGTATTTAGTATGTTTTCTGAATTTAGTTAGATTTTAAGTTGAATTTGGTTAAATTATAATATTGTAATTTTCATTAAATATATATCTTGATTTATTTAATTTATAAAAACAGAATAATATATAAATTTTATAAAAACAGTTTTAATATTAATATATATTTTATTTAAAACAAATATAATATAATATTTTATGTATTGATTAAAAACATATATAAAAAAATAGTTTTTTGTATTGAATAAAAACATTTTAAAAAACTTTTTTAATATGAATATATTTAGTAAAAATTGTTTAATGTTATTATTATAAAATCTGTTTTATAATTAAAAAATAATATTTAATATTATATATCATATATATAGAATGTTAATAAAAAAATTTGTTATATTATATAGAATGTATATTAAAACTGTTATATATATATAGAATGTTATATATCATCTATATAGAATGTTATATATCATCTATATAGAATGTTAATATAGAATGTTAAAAAAAATTATATTAAAAAAAATTATATAAAAACTGTATTATATGTTAATAAAAAATATTTATATATCATATATATAGAATGTTAATAAAAAATGTTTTATAATTAAAAAAATTATATAAAAACTGTATTATATGTTAATAAAAAATGATTTTATAATTAAAAAAAATTATATAAAAACTATGTTATATGTCAATAAAACATTAATATAGTATGTTAAAAAACATTATATAATGTTAATAAAACATTATATATAGTATGTTATAAAATATTATATATAAAAAATTGGTTTATGTATTTAATTATTATATATTATATGTATGTTAATAAAAACGGTTTTATAATTAAAAATTGTTTTATAAAAACTATATTATATGTCAATAAAAAATATTATATTAATTATTATATATTTAATAAACTATATTAATAGTATATTTAATAGTATATAATAAAAAACATTATATATTAAAAATAGTTAAAGTAAAAGCATATGTTTATGTTTAATAGTATATGTTTAAGATTATTATTAAGTTGATTAATTAATATTTCTAATTAAAAAGGTTTTGATTATATGAATTTGTAGTAAATAGAATATTATAGGTATTATCATAGTTGTATGTACGATAGACTATATCTAGGAAGACGCGCACTTAAACCCAATTTTATAGACGGGGTTAATGGTTTTATCACGTGGACGTTACAATCACGTGGCTATATATTTTTTATTATTATTTTTATTTAATTTAATTTCATTAATTTTACTTATATATTTTACTTGATTTTTTTATTGTATGTGTAGGAGGATTATCAGGTCTTGCTTGTAGAATTTCTGACCAATAATCCTAGGTATACTCCTCCTCCGGGAAAACCGGTTCATCCAGATGTGGATTTCTATATTTGGAGTCAAGTTGTTGGGGGAAAGGGGCCTAACGGGTGTTTTTTTTGTGGTGGAAATTTGGCGGGCACCTTGAGGAGTGGGGATAAAACTCTGTATTAGAGAGCTGCGGACGGTGAATGAGGGTCACGTCAAATAAATTTGACACCACATCAGTTAGAAACGGTAAGATAATTGGCTAGACGCGAGTCTGAAGAACGTGAGGCGGCATTGAAGGTCCAAACGGAGACAATGAGGGGTGAACATAATAGAGAAATGGAGGCAATGGCGAAGAGGCGGGCTGATATGGAGGAGCAAATGCGACAATTTATGCAAGCATTTGGTGGAAATCCCAACAATAGTGGCCAAAATAATTATCACCAAAATAATGATGACTTTCTTCGCGACTTTTTCGACGACTCGAATGATCCTTCTGCTTAGTTTTATTTTTATTTTCTATTTAGTTTTTTATTTGTGTACTAATATAAATTTATAATCATATTGTATATTTAAAAATATTAAATTTAAATTTTAGTTTATTAATTTTATTATATTAAATATATTAATTTATATATTTTGATATATTTAGTTTTATTTTTGATAATTTAATTTATATAATATTGAATTTAATAAATAAATTTTAATATTTAATTTATAAATTTAATGAAACAGAAAATAATATTAATTATTATATCAGAATATATTTAAAACAGAAAATATAATAATAAATTTTTTGATAATTTAATTTATATAATAATAAATTTAATGTAATAGAAAATATATTTAAAACAAAAAATAAATTTTTTTTTTAAAAACATAAGTTGCGACGACTTTTTCACGTCATTAATTAGTGACATGAAAAACACGCCGCAACACACAACGTAAAAGTAAATATAAAACTTGCTCTGACCTCTGCTCTGCTCTGACTGCTATTGACTCCATAAAGTTTGTTGCGGCGTGAATTTCACGTGGCAACGTTGTGACATGTTTCCCACGCTGCAACAACATTCACGCACTCTCCAACAACGTGTTTCTTCAGGTGACAAAAATAAAATTGTGATGTGATTTTGGTGTTAGCGACGTAGATTTCACGTGGCAAAATACAACTTATTTTGTAGTGGCTAATTTGTACTATAAAAAGAATTGTTAAGAACTTGATAAATAATATTCACTGTGTTTACAAAATTAATTTTTAATCTTTAAAGAAATTATATGGCCAAAATAACCTTCAAAATGATGAAATTTATGAAAAAACAAAAAGAGAAATGAAATCATCATATAGAATATTTACTTTTACAAATTCTAATATTTGAAAATAGATTTACAAAATAAGTTAATAACTAAACCTTGTGCAAATATAAATCATATGGAAAGAAGTTTGTGTACAAAATTAAGAAACTCAATTACATCATATGTTACTTGCTATCTTTCATCATTCATCTCCAATATTTCTTCATCATTCATCACTTCACTATTCTTCACAAACATTTTGGAGCTTGGTGCTGCAAATCGACCCGAGAACGAACATGAAAAATGATCAGGATCATTGAAATAACCATCATCAAAATTCTGTAAATATGAGTTAGGATCATATAAAAACACAGGTGAGGATGATCTAAGAATTCTTCTCTTCTTTTCTCTCTTGATCTTCCTCCATAGTGTTTTCAATCTTGCTATCTTGATTTTGCTCATAAATTCATTGACACATACAATAGGGTCATGGCCAACTCTCTCGTAACTTGACCAAATGTTTTTGTTTGTTGAGCCTAGACAGTTGCATTTTTCAAGGTCCATAGTTAGTGTATGGAGTAGATAACCTAGAAATCATAAAGTAGTTTAAGGAACCAATGTGTTTGGAGTGGATTTACTAAGATAGAATTATGGCTTATTTATATAGTGATGGCATGAATCACTTTTCTTTCTCTTCTTTTCAATATCATCATCACCACCTCATGAATGCACGTACTTTAGGCTACATTGGACCAACCAAAAGAAAAGTAAAAAAGTTTGGATAATCCTTCTGTATTAAAAACTCCTTTTGATGTCAACATTTAAAGTTATCACTATATTACTTTTTTAAATATATAAGAGGTCACCTGATTTTAGCTATGCATAGCTTTTGGATAGAAGTATTATTTTAGTGGAGACACACCATACGAGCCTACGTCATATGAATTATTTATTTGGGAAAATTTACTAAGAAAAAGAGAAAGGAGGTTACTGGAATGTAAATTAGCTACATATTATCTAACTCACAATTAAATTGGGTTTTGATCTCATCTCAAATGTTAACTAAAGAAAGAGGCTGTCCAGATACATTTTTATATCTAATAGTAAAAAAATTTAAGCAATAAAGTCTCATTTAACCTCAAAACACTGAAACAATTTCAAACCACTCTCAAGTGGACTTGAGTCAAATTCTCACATTACATTCTTTAATTCAACTATGATATTAAGTTAATCTTGAATAAATTTTAAATGTTATTAGTAGTGGGGTTTTTATTAATAAAGTAGTGGGAAGGTTAAAAATCAAATGTAATTGAAAGGTCAAGAGATAGTAGGTTATAATAGTATTTACTAATAGCATTTACTTTCTTAGAATAGTAGAAGTCTTTGGGTCTATATAAAGACCAAAATTGTATTTTATTAAAACAACAAGTTACAAAAGTTTGCTCATTTTCTCTAACAAATTGTCATCAGAGCTTATGGAAAACATGATGAATCAAATGCCGTTGCCACGACTAACGAAGTCAAATTATAAAAACTAAAGTATCCAAATAAAAGCTCTTCTTAGATCTCTAGACGCGTGGGAAGTGACTAGAGATGGGTTTGAAGAACCAACAGATGTTGCGGCACATACGACAACTCAAAATAAGGCGTTGAAACAGACGCGCTTGAAGGATAAAACAACACTATACATGTTGTTCAGGGATGTTGACGAATCAGGCTTCGAAAAGATTGTTGATTCGACTACGTCGAAAGAAGCAAATCAAACCAAGGATTTGATCAAAGACGAAATGGTACTCTTTTCTCAAAACTTTTGAGGAAGAGGACGTGGTCGTGGAGGTCGTGACAGTGGTTGAAGTGGTCGAGGCAGCAACTTCGAGAGAGGAAATTCGAACCAACAAAATTGGCGTGACAGAGGACGTGATCAAAGAGGTGGTCGATCGAACCACTCCAACTTCAAATGCTACAAGTGTGGGAAGTATGGTCATTACGCGAAGGATTTCAATTCCTACAAATGTTATAACTGTGATAAAGTGGGACATCTTGCAAAGGATTGTTGAATCGAAAAGAAGGTAGAAGAAACAATCAATATAGCCTTGGAAGTTTAAGCGAATGAAGGTTTTCTCCTGATGGCTCAAAATAAAATCAACACCAATAATGACCATGTTTGGTATCTTGACTCAGGAGCAAGTAATCACATGTGTAGTTATAAATACCTGTTTAAAGAAATGAAAAAAATTGAAGATGGTAATGTGTCTTTTGGAGATGCATCGAAAGTGAAGGTCGAAGGAAAGGGTGCAATCAGTTACTTAGAGAAGGATGGCTTGATTGGATCAATCGAAGATGTTTACTATGTACCATATCTCAAGACCAACATCTTGAGTTTGGGACAACTTGCAGAAAAAGGTGTTTCGATACTTATAAAAGATCAAATACTGCATTTGAAGGACAAAGTAGGACATCTGATCGTCTGTGACGAAATGGAAAGAAATCGAATGTACAAACTGAATTTGAGGAACGTTCGAGAGAAATTTCTACAAGTCAAAATGCAAGACAAAGTGTCACTATAGCATATGCGCTTTGGTCATCTACATCATGCTGGTTTGAGAAGGTTGGCGAAAAGGAACATGGTGCACGCACTACCAGACATGGATTATGAAGGAAAGTTTTGTGAAGAATGTGCGCTCAGCAAACAAACAAGAACCTCATTTTAAAAGAAGGCAAAATATCAAGCTAAACAAATTCTCGAATTGATTCATACTGACATATGTGGGCCAATCACTCCAGAATCCTTCAGTGGAAAAAGGTACTTTATTTCTTTTATCTATGATTTCTCACGAAAGACCTGGGTTTATTTCTTGAAAGAAAAGTCTGAAGCATTAGAGGTGTTCAAAAGGTTCAAATAAATGGTGGGGAAGGCAACCGAAAGACATATCAAAGCAGTTCGATCTGACAGAGGTGGTGAGTACACTTCTACGACCTTTATGAAGTATTGTGAAGAGCAAGGCATAAGGAGATTCCTAATTGCACCATATTCACCACAGCAAAATGGTGTCGCTGAAAGAAAGAATTGAAATATTCTTGACATGATTCGATCAATGCTTAAGAGCAAGAACATGTCGAAAGAATTTTGGGCAAAAGCTGTACAATGTGCTATTTATGTTCAGAATCAATGTCCACATTCTAAGTTAGAAGATAAAACACCACAAGAAGCATGAAACAGACAAAAGATAACCGTTTCTCATCTCAAAGTATTTGGTAGTGTATCTTATGCACATGTACCAGATCAACAAAGAACGAAACTTGAAGACAAAAGTCAGAAGTATATATTCATTGGATATGATGAGAAGACAAAAGGGTACAAGCTATTCGACGCCATAAGCAAGAAAGTGATCGTGAGTAGAGATGTTCGAATAGACGAAGCGAGCAAGTGTGACTGGAACAGTTCGACAGAAGTTATCGACGCAGTCGAAGAATCATATATCGATGTACCAACAAGAATTTCAACAGAACATGAAGTTACTGAAAATAAAGATGAACCTCTACAACCCAGAATGCGAAGTTTTCAAGATTTATATGATTCGACAAATGAGTTACACCTTGTGTGCCTTCTGGCTGATGCTGGAAACATCAGTGTCGAAGAAGCGTTACGAGACAAGAATTGGAAAAGTGCCATGGACGAAGAGATTAGAGCAACAGACCACAACAACACTTGTGAGCTAGTCGAATTGCCAATAGGTAGTCAAACCATTGGTGTAAAATGGGTATTAAAGAAAAAGATGAACACTCAATGAGAAATTGAACGATTCAAAGCGCGATTTGTTGCGAAGGAATACAAACAGAAAGCAGGAATTAACTATAATGAAGTGTTTGCACTTGTTGCAAGAATGAAGATAATTCGGTTGCTCATTTCTCAAGTTGCTCAAGTCAAATGGTCAATATTTCAAATGGATGTCAAGACAACATTTTTGAATCGTGTACTCGAAGAAGAAATCTATGTCAAACAACCACTCAGGTATATGAGAATTGGAGAAGAGAAGAAAGTGCTGAAATTGAAGAAAGCACTATATGGGCTTAAGCAAGCATCGCGGGAATGGAACACACGAATAAACACATATTTCAAGGAGAATGGGTTCGAACAATGTCCGTATGAACATGTCCTCTATGTGAAGAAAAATGGAAGTAATGTATTACTTGTTGCTCTCTATGTCGATGACCTTATTTTTCTAGGAAGTGATGTTCAGATGATAGAAGAATTCAAGAGAACCATGACACGCGAATTCGAAATGACAGACTTGGGTCTGATGAGATTCTTTCTTGGTTTGGAGGTTCGACAAGAAGAAACTGGAATCTTTATTTCACAAGAAAAATATGCAAAAGAAATCTTAGAAAAATATAAGATGAAAATATGTATCTAACTTCGACGCCAATGGAACCAGGTGTAAAATTGTCAAAATTTGATGGAGAAGAACGTGTCGAAGTAAGCAAATATCGAAGCTTGGTAGGTAGTCTTCGCTATCTCAAACGCACAAGGACAGACATTTCATTAAGTTTCGGCATTGTAAGTCGATTCATGGAGGAGCCAGTACATTCAGATTGGGAGGAATTGAAACGGATCATAAGGTACATCCAAAGAACAATGTCATTTGGAATATTCTATTCAAGAACAGAACACTACAAGTTAGTTGGTTACTCTGACAGTGATTGGTGTGGAGATATAGACGATCGAAAAAACACTTCTGGATATGTGTTCTTCATGGGAAACACTGCATTTACTTGGCTTTCAAAAAAGTAAATGATGGTAACACTTTCGACATGTGAAGCTGAATATGTGACATCATATTGGTGCGTTTGTCATGCAGTATGGCTTTGAAGATTGATGAGTAAAATGGAGCTAAAATAGGAAGGTGCAACAGTAATACAAGTGGACAACAAATCAGCAATCGAGTTGGCAAAGAATCCAGTAAACCATGAAAGAAGCAAACACATTAATGTTTGATTCCACTTCATTCGAGAACATGTGAAGGAATGAAGTGTCGAATTCAGACATGTAGCAAGCAAAGATCAAGCAACATATATTTTCACAAAACTATTGTCGAAAAAAATTGTCGACAGAGACAAGAAATTGATAGGCATGATGGATGAAAGAAACATTTAAGTTTACCGAGGAGTTTTGTTAAATAAACTTTAAATGTTATTAGTAGTGGGGTTTTTATTAATAAGGTAGTGGGAATGTTAAAAATCAAATGTAATTGAAAGGCTAAGAGATAGTGGATTATAATAATATTTACTAATAGCATTTACTTTCTTAGAATAGTAGAAGTTTTTGGGTCTATCTCAAGACCAAAATTATATTTTATTAAAATAACAAGTTACAAAAATTTGCTCTTTTTCTCTAACAGTTAAATGCACTTGGATTTCATACCAAGAAGATAATTCAAAAAGTGAAGTTTGTGAAACACATTTATCATGACATGTACCTATCTTAATTGAATTTAAGTTTGGTTATAGTACCATTTGCTATTAGGTTCCTCAAAGATTGTTCATATCATGATAAAAATATTAGG